GTCCATCTTAATATTCAGACTATATGGAGAAGACCAATAAATACATTTTAGCAGCTAACAGCTAACTAGCCTGTTTGTAGTTAGCTGTTAGCTAACTACAAACAGGCTAGTGGTATTACCAATTTGTAAAAAGCAGGTCAAAACATCACATTCTTCATATGAAGTTCTTATGAAGCAGCAAATCCACACTGCTGAACAGACAACATGTGGAATCAAACACTGTACGAACCCTGTTACATCATCATCTGTCTTCTCTTCCAGATGATTGCTGCCACTCTGCAAAACCAAACTGGAAATTCTGTGGAAGTTCAGACTCTCTGCTTTGGAAGTTGATGCCGAAAAGAATTCACAACGCAGCCTTGAGTTCAACTGCAGCCACATTTGAGATTTCTGGGATAAAACAAGGAGCAACTCCTCTGAAACCTCTGGAATACAGTTGTGGTAACTGAAATAAGACTTCATAGAGCATTACCTGCATTTCGTGGTGGTGGCTTCCCTATTCAGCAGGCTGGGAGTGGCAGTAGGATGCCTGAACTGCATAACTTTCCCCCCCTGAGGGACCCCAGAGGCCCTGAGCTGGGTTTAAATGGAGCCGCAGACCCAGCTCAAATTCAGCACAGTATCCTGGAGGAGCAGGTGGAACTGTGGTGGTTCAGAGATCCCGGGAAGTCTCTGCTCTGCTACTGTGTGGCCGTGCTCCTGATCCTGGGCTGTGGGCTGGGAGGTGTCGGCCTTCTCTCGACCACCACCAGCGTCTCCAGCGAATGGCGTCTGGGCGCAGGCACGGCCCTCTGCCTGCTCGCCCTGGGAGTGCTGCTCAAACAACTGCTCAGCTCGGCCGTGCAGGACATGAATTGCATTCGAAGCCGCCAGCGCATCGACATGCTAAAGAGCGGCGGTTTATCAGACCTGCTTGTGGTTTCGATCACGGGGCTGTCGCTGTTGATTTGCGGAGGAGTTCTGCTGCATCTGGCCCTGGCTAACCACATGCCGAAGCCAGGGCAAGCCCTGAATGACATGTACATCTCTGGAGTGGTTCTGCTGGCTGGAGGGGGGGCTGCAGTAGTGGGTGTTGGGATTTATTCTGTTGTGGTGATCCTGCTTGAGAGGACAAGGCACGGACGAAGGCTGGTGGACCAGGTGTTGAATATCTTCACCGTTTCTGGACGCATGGAGCGCCAGGGTCGCAGAGAGACAACCTCCAGTCTGGCTAACCTCATATGAGACATAACCACAATACAACGGTGTAATCTGGCCCCTTGATTTTACTATCGGAACAATTATCCTCACGTTAGGGGAATAATGAGTAAAACACTCTTTAAATACTGTAAGTCAGCTTTGTCACATGTTCGCGTGTGAACGGGAGAAAATAAGTTGACTTTGCAATATCTGCTCGGGGAAGATGTTATTAATGAGTTCTCTCTTAAGGATGAAAAGACTGATGAGTAACACACAAAGGAAGAATTGATTACTACATGGCTGAGTGTGCCAGGGGAGCGGCAAGTATTTTTACACATGAATGTAAAAATCTTTTTTTTGACAAACTGTAAATCAGAAACCATCCACATGAGGCTGGACGCCAAAACACTGGTTCCTGTAGCAGCGTGGTCACTGGTCAGGTCTCTGACATAGAAGCAGGCAAAACGAGGAGGAACGCTGACTCCATTAGTATTTAGGAAGATTTTTCTTTTCAATGAAAAGCACAGATTCTTTCGTGAGAAATGTCGGTTCCAAGATGGGAGCTGACGTGTTTTCATGTTGTCATCACACAGAGTATAATAATCTGCGCATCACCTACAATTTGTCAAATAATCTCTGACAATGTAACACAAAGTTGTATGTGTACGCTACGGTGGCTGAGACGTCAAGCGCGCAAGTGCATTAACGGAAAACACCCATTCAAAAGTCACAGCACGAATGCTAACGCCACAATTTAGATGCAAAAGCCACAACACAAGTGTAAAAGCCACACAATGGAAACACAACAACAATTCGTACAATTTAGATAAAACACTAACATCACAATAGATCCCTTTCATTCGAATCTTTCACCTGGACCTTTAAAATGAGACGCTTGTCTATATGAGGTGTTCCGTTGTGTTTCCGTTGTGTTGCCTTTGCATTTGTGTTTTCTGTTAATGCCCTTGTGTGGGTGTCTCAACCTCTGTACTACAAAGATGAAGAAACACAAAACTGTTTTGTCAAAGGTGATTAGAGGTTGTGGTTAAAGGGGCCATTTACACGTGTATAATGTATGTGTTATAAACATGGATCCTGTCAAAGTGCTCTTGGACCACACGTCTGTCCACCACCTGCACTGATGATCAATGATTGTAAGTTGTCGTGGATCAGAGCACTAGCTGAAAGGCTGTAAATAGTAATTACAAAAGCAGTGATACACAGGACAACATAAACATGTTTTTTGTAATTTGTAATCCATGCACCAACCCTCACTCTGTCCATATGTTCACATGAAGTTTTGTGCAGCTGATGAATTTGACTGTGGACGTAATGAGGTGAGAGCTTCAACGTGGCTAAACTCCTTTTAATTCAAAATTAATTCCTCAGTTGAATAATAATTGACTTTGATCCATGCAGCAGGACTTTGATGTAAAATCTGTTTGCCTGTAACACGAGAAGACAACATGATTGTGTATCAGAGAATTATACGGGAGCACTTTATCCACTGGATCATTTGTGGACTCAGTATTGTCTCAGCTGTGACGCTTGAAGCACCTTCTATATTTTTGACATTACACTGAATCAATTGATTGTGTGGAATGTAAAAATGTTCACCCACATTGCAGCAGTCATGGAGAATCACCATCTCATCTGATCTGTTGAGTTTTTTTTTTTTTACATCTTGGCTCATTGTCTTTATTATGATTTTGAATGTCAGTGTTCTCATCAAACCATGTGGGCAGCAGAGTTAAGCAATAAAGCTCAGATAAACCAAACTGTGCATCACCGACTTTGCTCCAATCGACAAACAGACATTGAGTTTCAAAGTATGGAGCATTTGTCTTTGGGGCATTCACAACAAGGCTTGAATAATAAATTATCTTTCAGTCAGGACCACGTTCATCAAAAATAATTTGATTTGAAGGAATTGCAATAAGTTTGGCGGTTTTGCTTTTTTTCTGGGACGTCCCTGCTCGTCCATCTGTCTAAGAAAGGAGCCTGAGGTGAGGGAGAGCACACCTGCCTCCCATGAGCCTTCAGGGAAAGTAAGGCAGGGAGACCAGCAGCTAAAAGACCCAGAGATCAGAGCAGGCGTTAATGACGACACACAACATCGAGGAGGTCAGATTCATTAAAAAATGAATAGAATGCATAGAAGGGGATCAGCTGTTTTCTGATCTTTGCTGGCATACAATCAATTAATGCAACTTTAAGTATGCAACCATGAGTGCTTCCAATGATTTTAGAGAAATGGGACATATTTCCAAGGAACCAAGATCCTTTGACGAGAAAACTAGAAACATGGGGCAAATTTAACGAAAGAAAAAGAGAAGGAATTAACAGCACAATTAATAGACTTTAATTTCTGCTGTGTTTTTGCTGGGACCAATTTACATTTATTTCGATCCCTGAAGCACTTAAGTGAAATAAAGTTTTGCCTCATGAGGATTAAGAATCTCCGTGCTCTACTGTAACCATGACTTTGCCTTCAGCATGGGGCTGTAGTTGGAGGTGACAACTCTCCTCCCAGCACCTCTGGATTCATTAGATGTATTTTTGGCTCAGATAACAGAATTGATCAGCCCCCACAAGGCAGAGAAGGAGAAATGAAAAAATCACCTTTCACTGAATTAGGTAAATCTACAGTCTGCTGACACGTTTGCACTGTTATTACTGAGTCTCGTTTCCAGAGGTGTTAATACAAAATAATAGAAAAGCAAAAATTTCATTTCCATAAAAACAAAGAGAAACACATCATGACACTGACGAGACACAAAGAGAAAAAGCGACATGTTTGTGAAATGTTCCCAAAAGCTGTGAAGAGTAATTCCTCACGTCGCCTTCCAGAAGAACCTCAGAGAAGGTCCTGCTTTGTGTCACACTAGTGTGTGTGTGTGTGTGTGTGTGTGAGAGAGACAGTCAAGCTTCTTTATTTGCCTGCACACACACACACACACACACATAAACACAATTGCCTTGAGACAAAGGGGCTCACACAGTTAACCATTGTTGGTGTGATGACAGACAGCAAACTGAAGGCACAATGCACAAGGCAGCAATCTGCAGGGGCTGGTATAAACTAGCACCACTCTCTCTCTCTCTATCACACACACACACACACACTCATAAATCCTGCAATCCTTACTTACACAAATGTGTCTTTTGACCTTAAGTATGCAGTAGCAATGGCAGCCTGTGTATCCGTGCATGACAGCGAGAGGTGAGCAGAGCGAGGAGGGAGGCAGGTCTGGTGCTGAGGAGAGACGTGTGTGTGGGAGGAGTCAGAGCATCTCTGTGAAACTATCCGAGCACAGACAACACGACTACATGTGACCTGCTGAAGCTGACTGAGTCCCAATGAACATTTTAATAATTTATTTCCCCCAACGGACACATGTTTAGAAAACGTGTGTGTGAGATCGCGTTTCTGACGTTCTGTTAAATCCTAAATGTCAAGGTTTTATTAGTTTGGTTATAAATCTGCTGTAGGTCGTCTTAGTAAATTCAGTAACGTTGATGTTATTACCACCTGAGTCTGCACAGGAATAATCTGTTTAGTTTATCTCCATGCTTTGCTTAACAGCAGTACGCTCTGAGTGCTATAATGTTTTAAATATGTTTAATTAGACATGTTTTATTCTTATACATTTGTTTTATATGTTCATATGTGATTCTGTGGTTAGGTGTTTATGCAGACGTCACAGCAGATCTGTCCACAAGGTCATTTCCAGGGAATCATATTATGCATCTATAACTAAATTAATGAAACATAACTGATAGAAAGTACAAGCAAAAAAACAAACAATTGTACTTCAAAATAAGATACAAAAGTTTATAGTAAATAGTTTATTTCCAAATATATCCCTTTTTTTTTCTTCCTATGGACAAACAGTCGATAAATTACTGAAAACACACATTTAACACAAATCCTCACTGGTGTCTGAAATATCCCCTGACACGAGACAACGGGCTGATTATAATCCGAGGGTTTTGTTCTGGATAGCAGTGATGCAATAAAATGACTCAGGACTCTCTCAGGAGCTTTTGGCAGCGCAGCTGAACCGAGGCGGTGCGATGCATGCACAACAGAGGGAGTGAGTTACACCACAAACTGCTCTGAAGAAGAATATTGGCCTTCAAAGGTCGACATATCAAAGAAAAATAAAGAGTCAGCTCAACATATTGTCAATATTCTGAGATTCTGCAGAGACACAAATCCCCTCAGGTTATTTTACCTCTGTGCTCTCCGGCCTCCTGAACCCCACTTTCTTGCCCTTCAACGCAATTTCTTTAGGAGACCGCCCAGTATGATATAAACAACAGTTAACAAGATGAATAAAAATGTCTGCGCTCTTTCAGTCTCTGCCTCAAAGCAGCGAGATGATTTCGAACACAAGGACGAGGTTACAGGCCCCACGGGACAGTGTGGACAATATAATGTTACACTGCCAACGCCTCCGACAATATTGTGCCTTATTAATCATTGATCTGGTCGCTGGTGTTAGTTTCAGTGCACTGGGGATTATGTTCACAGTGCTAAAGGTAAAGATACATTAGCAATTCTTTAAGGCAATGAACGTATAGCAGAGAGGTTCCAGAAAAGTGCGAGGGATGAAGATTAACCGCAGAGTTCATGTAAAAGTGGACAGAAGAAATAAAAACCCTTCTAATTAAAGATACTGAAGGATAGAGAAGTTTCTAAAATGCTGTTTTTGACAACATGGCAAAATTTTGATTTAACAAATTAATAAAATAATTCAAAAAAAGCTAATCATGATCTGCAACCTTGGCCCTTTGAAAAATGAAAACTGACAATGATCCATTATAGTTCCAGTGTGAAAAGCAGAGAAGTTAAAATAAAGTTTCACTCAATTGGATATTTGAAACAATGAACTTCTTCTGCAAATGAACCTCATGGGAAATGAGAGCTTGCCAGAACCAGACAGCAACACCAGGTTATCAGTTCATTATTCACATTTTTAAATATTCAAGTCCTGAGGAACCTTTAAAAAAAAACAAAATCACAGGTCAGAGGTGACACAACAGCCGTTCCCATCTTAGCCGGAAGGGATGATGCCTTGTTTCCACTCAGAGTGGGTAAAAATGTCCTCCTGCACTTGTCCTCTGCTGTTCATTAGTGATGGGAGGTGGAGAAACAGAGGAAAGGAGAGGAGGAGGAAGAAGAGGAAGAGGAGAGATCCATTCGTCTAGCAGCATCTGTGCCCTTTAGTTTGTCCGGAGCTGGTAATCTGCCAAGAGACGTAGCAGAGCATTAACACAGCTTTCTTCCACTCATCACCCCTGCACATCACATTACTGCCAATATAAGCCCCTGTTAAATCCCCAAACAAGATTTCCACTAATTCTAGTGCCACTCTACAAAATCACATTACCGATATTTAATACACTAACTTACTGAAACCTGAGACTGCGATGAGTCTCTGGAAGAAAATGATCAAATGACATTAATAGATCACATTTATTACAGAGCAGTTTTGGTAATACATCACAATCTTTATTTTCCAAAAACCCAATGTTCCGAATTATCTAACTGCAGAAGTAAATCCAAGATTGCTCAACAATAACAGATGATGCTAAATGGACATAAATATGTGGACGGGGATGACAGCATATTTGTATGTTCTTTTTCTTCATGGTTTGAACATCCTAGTTTCTATTTGTGCTAAACGAACAATAATAGACAATTACATGTTTACAGTTTTGTGGAAAAGCAATGTCCTCTGTCAACATGACAGTGAAAGTTAGGTCCGTGAATCTGTGCTAGATTCTAGAAGCAACAAAATAAATCTCATTTAAATTCTAGAGGAGGTTGGTGACGTTTCTTAAAAACAATTAATTAGTGTTTACTTAGTTGGTCTGTTTTTCAGCAGCCTTTGAAAAGCACTATTTCCCATGAGCCCTTGCATGTTAATAGCAAACATTTCAGTGGATGCCAGTATGGCTTTGAATATGTCCATTAAACTGTGAGAACAAGTTCAGAGTGGTTATGAATGTTTCTTTTGAAAGGCAGGAACTTCAGCTGCTTAGAATATGTACAGCAAACTCCAGGTACACCTTCCCCCCCGAAACGCAAAGGAATTTTGCTTTAACGGTCAGAAATCTCTTCCAAAACATTAAAATCTGAGATGTTTAACAAACATATAAAGATGTAGAGTTTGAAATCAATAAACTCCTCTCTCATGTTATGACATCATGTAAACATCCATTGCAGCAGAGCTTGTTATTCTCAGTGACGTGTCAGTGAAGTCGTCACGACCTAAACGCCTGCTCATCACTCATTAATAAGTCAGCACAGTCAGGCTACAGTCTCAGGGTATTGAGTAATCAGTCTTTGCGTAGCTGACTGAAATGGGATCGGCACCATCTTCCCTCCCTGTGTTGCTGATGGCAACAATAATAGAAAGGTGATATCCTCCCTCTCCAGTCCCCCTCTAACTTCACCACTCTTCAGTCTCTCACTTTCTTCACCCTCCTCCTCCTCCTCCTCTCTCTTCTGCTTCCTGGTCGATGTCATGGCGAGGCGACAGTAACCTTGGCATTTGCTGACTGCCGCCCTGGGAGCCTCCTGGCACTCGGCGGCATCACTCAACCTCCGCCACCCTGACTCGCACCCGACAAAGTCAAGTGACAGATATGACTGATCCAGTAATTGAGCCAGGTTCATTCCTGGGCTGCAGGTGTGAAACTTTTTAAAGATATCTGCCCCCCCCATTAAAACAGGTGAGCGAGTGAGGAGGAGTTTGCTGTGGTGTCATCGATATACTGCAGCTTTAAAAGATGCATAGAACATTCAGGTTCCTAATTCTAATGTAGGTTATTATTATCACATGCTCTTATTTTCACAGAACGCATCAGTTTCCTCAGACTGTCCGTTGCTGCAGCTCCTCTTTTCAGCCTGTCTGAAACACTTGGCTCCTGTCTCTTTAAGGCCCCTCCTCCTGATAAAGCTCCGTCTGCTCTGATTGGCCAGCTTGGCCCAGTCTGTTGTGATTGGTAAACCGCTTCCAGCGCATGTAGGAAATGTCGACTCTGGTTGGACACCAGACACTTTACCCCGACCTGAAATCTGCTGCGAGCTAGAAGCCGTAAAGAAGTTTCTATCCCTGGCTTCCTGTGTGGTGTCACTCTAAACCCCCGAGGCCACGGCTCCTGGTGATAGAGCCAGGTAATGGATATGATGGATGCTACACAGCTGGGTTCATTCCTGGGGCACACGCTGAATAGTGTAGAGCGACTGATTCTGAGACTGATTCTTGCTCTCACAAGGAAAAACATTACTTTTAACCTCCGGTGCAGACTTGAAGACATCCTGCTTTTAACGAATTCAAAAGGTTTATGTGTATTTATGATTGTGTGAGGTGTGGATGGTATTTCAGTGTGTTCTTTTCTCACCTCCACTTTGTGTGATGTAGCGCACCCACGGTAACGCCTGGTAACCGCTCTTCTCTATGATCTTCAGGTATCGCACCTGAGGAGGGAACAAGGGTTTAACTCACAGGGGTCGTTTCAGTCACCGACACAGAAACATGTTCACATTTAAAAGTAAATGAAAAAGTAAAAATTCCACAAAATAAGTAGAGATTTTATTTTGGAGTTTCCACAAGGCATCGCTAAAATGTACAAAGGTAAATCTGACTGTTTCATCATATAGCCTACAGTATATTTCATATAGCATTTGCTTTATTCTAAGTTTTACACTCCACCTGAGTAGAAAGTGAGCAGTGATATAAAGAACGTGAGAGTGTTAGTTGATTTCAAACAACAGAAACTTCCCAGATTACGAGAAGACTGAATAAGTCACCTATTCAGTCTCGTATTGGTAACGTTCCAGTTTGCATTCTCGTCACGTGTGAATGAGTAACCGTGGATTGTTGAAACTAGGATTCAAAAACACAAGAGCACAAACAAAGGGTCCAACCTGAATTCCAGACACAGTGAAATAAGGGATCTCAAAGTTAACTGTGATCGGTCTCTTCCCCTCCAGCTCCTCACTGTCCACGCTGGGCAGCCCAAAGTGTGCCCGCATAATGTACTCCTTACCACCCTGTACACACACACACACACACACACACACACACGCACGCACGCACACACACAAAGTTGTGTTATCAGGTCAGATAAGGCAGTTTTATTGGTTTGATGAATTCTGTTCCCAGTTGTCCGACTCCCAATTAACACAGGGTTGTTTTGTCCAAAATCAAAACAAACTTGATATTCATGGCAACGACTCCCATGTCACCATCAAGGTGAATCAGACCTGTCGTAATTCAGCATTTGTCGAGCACATCCAGGCCATAAAAACATGAAGCAGGTTAATCATTCTTTGTACGAGTTTGTTAGTTTGTACTTTGGTTTTACTTCATGAAAATCAGTTGCTATTTTGACTTTTAAAGCCCAGAATTTTTTTAAACATCTAAGATTCATGGCTGAACAATCAAGAACCACCACATTACACGCACTAAACATATCAGTCCCCGAAATATTCCTGATTATTTTAATCAAGATCGTTGAATTATTCCATTTGAAATTGGCGAAAGTGTCAGAAACTGTTACTGTATGTTAAAGAAAGTGAAAAACTAAATCCTGGATCCGGATCTACGCCAAAATGTAATGGATTCTTTCTTTGCCCATGTCCGATCCTTCCACCAAATTTGTTGTAAATCTGTTTGTTAGTTTTTATATAATTCTGGTTTTACTCTTTTTGTTGCTCCAGAGCGTTTGTCTGCTGTCACCAGAAAACAAGTTCTTTAAAGTAAAAGGTCAATGTTTTAAACTATATCTACTCAGTATTTCATTGCACCTTCGGTCTGTCCTGAAGAGGGAAACACTGCCATTGCTTTTGACTTCCTGTCCTCCTGTTTGTGCGTCGCTCTGCAGAACATTGTTCTGCGTCATAGTCAAACTTTGACACAATAAAATGACGTATCCTCAAAGAGAATCCCAGTTATTGTGTGTTTGATGGGGAACAAATGTAAAATGGTCAATTTACTTCTCTGTTCTACAAATCATCCATCGGCTACCTTTTACTGATTTCTCATTTATTGTTGGGTACAATTTTCAAATATGTCTTATCAGCTTGTAAACAGGGACGGGAGTGATAAGGTTTTCCACAGCAACTATGTCCACAAGTTAAAACATATTTAAACAGAAGTTAAGGAAAGAGTTTTTGTGTCAGTCAGACAAGTGACAAACCTGATAAATGCACATGGTTGGGTTCATGTTAAACTACTTGCTCATTACCTCACCTCCACCAAGGAGGCTTAAAAGGTGCAGATCTAATTAAACTTTTCTTTCTGTGCCGTACTGACCGCGAAAGACTTGATGTTCCACTGCACCACGTTCTTCTCGGGAACCCACTTGGCGCTGCCTGTGCTGGTCTTGAACTTGGGAGAGTCCGCATCACTGGGCACTGGCACCATAATGGACACGTTGTTGGCAGTGGAGCGACTCTTAAACTGACTCCGAGCCTGCGGCGGGCGACAGAGTTCAATGTCACCAACAAATCCAAATCATGGAGGTCGTCATGATTATGCAAACTGCAGCGTGTTGTTTCAAACACCCATGTGGCCGTCGCTGCGTCAGACAGATGGGAAGCTGTAATCCGCCGGAGATGCATGTGTCGTAAATACTAAAGACGCTGCAGTGGAGACGGGACTGGGTGAGTGAGTAAGGGCACGGTGTGTCTCAGTTTGTTTATTTTTGTGTGTCACTCGTCATTACCTTCACCTTGATCTCCACACGGCTGTGAGAGAACTTCTCAATCGCGCTCTCGATCCATATGAGAGGCTTCACCTACCAGAGAGAGAGAGGGAGGAAGGGGGAGAGAGGGAGGACAAGGTCAGAGGGTGAGTATAGAGCTGAAATGCATCACTACAAACACCTCCAGAGAGACAGTGGACTGTATAAGGGACAGGACGACTTATACCACTGCTCATATGATTGTCAGTCACATGTGCAACCACAATCTGTACGACTAACCCGTCACAACCATCGTTAAAGTATTTATCGTAAATACTCAAGAGATTGAAGCAAATGTATTGTATTGTGTTTTTTGTCTAAAGTATTTTTACATTGATTTACTGAAACAGTTGCTTATTAATATAAAGTACAGAATAAAATTAAAAAACAATCCTGTTCATACATTCACACAAATCAGATACTTCAAAAGAGAATGTCTGTCAGTCTGTCAGTCTCTGAACAGCATCACTTGTTTATGTGTGTTAACGTGTCAAAATGTTTCATATGTTTTCTGCAGGTGAGTAGAATAAAATGTAATTTAGACAAAATATTGGTGTGTGTGTGCATTGGTTTACATGTGTCCCACTCACTGTTGTGTTAAGGCGGTACGACATGAGCTCGCTCTCGCCGTCAGGCGGGATGAAGGAAATGGTGCGGTCGTTCTCGAAACGTGACAGACGGACGCACTGGTGAAACTTCACGTCCTCCAGCTCCACTGTCTTGCTCTTCTCTCCTGACACACACACACACACACACAAAGTCAAACACAAACAATACACAAAGATGATCGAGAGCTTTCCACACAGCCTTGGGGAAATCAAGGTCGAGATAATGATGACTGACAAACATTCAGTCTCTCACTCTTTCTCTCTCTCTCTCTCTCACACACACACACACACACACACACAAACACACACACACACAAACACACAAATCTGTCTGACCTCTTCTTGTCCCTTCACGAAACAATTATTAAGCCGCTACACACAAACATACTGTACATACATACACATGCTGCCATCACCTTCCCCTCACTGAAGCCCATTCAGCTGACACACACACACACACACACACACACACACACACACACACACACACACACACACACACACACACACACACACACACACCAATGGATCGGGCATAGTAATGCTGCACACAGGCCTTCACTGGGGGGGTATCTG